GAGAAAATGTTTTGAGAATGATGAGGGCAATGAATGTACAAATGCGCTTTACACAACTGATGTGTGTATGGATTGTGATAAGAGTTGTAAATGATTTAAAAAACCTAGCAGAAAATATTGAAAATTAGAACAAATTTAAAATGGGCCAAAGGGGAGGACAAATAGTAAGGTGTACATCTGCATCCATCCAATCTCTGATAGCCTGAGACCGTAAGTCTTTATGGGAACACGAAGACTTATCATTCTCCCACACAGCACCTGGTGGATTATTTTCCATTTTTTGGTTCCATTTATTTCTGCTGTAATCTTTACAATTTCCATTTTCTTTGTTGTTCTTTTTCTAATTCTTGGAGTTGTTGGGTTAAGGTATTGACCCAATAAGGTTCCTTTTTGATGTGTCCATTTATTACAAGGAGTGAGCTCTGAGCACTCACTGGTGTTGCTGTGTCCTGCAGGTCTTGGTATGTTATGCTTTCATTCGCCTTGCTTCTAAGATTGTTTTTCACAATTTATTTCTTCTATTACTCAGTAGTTTTCAAGGCAGGATGTTATTCTGTTTCAGTGTATTTGATGTTTACCCCTAATCTTTCGCTTATTAGTCCCAATTTTTATAACATTGTACTGCGAGGGGATGCTGTGCATCATTTAAAGTTTTAAAAAAATGCTGAGACTTGCTTTGTGGCCTACATGTGGTCTCTTCAGCAGAATGACCCATGAGCTCTGGAAGAGAATGTGTATTGAGTTTTTGTTGAGTGCAGAATGTTCTGTATTTGTCTATGAGCTTAAGTTGGTTTGTTGTGTTGTTGGGATCTTCTGTATCTTTTCTGAGTTTCTTTCTAGCGATTCTGCCCCTCATTGAAAGTGGTGTGTTCCAATCCCCTGATATTATTGCAGAGTTGTATATTTCTATTTCAAATCTATTAATGTTTGCTTTATGTATTTTGAGGATCTTTCATTGATAGAGATATTTATTATGTTTATGTTTATCTCATCCTATAATCCTATTTCTAGATATAGATCCTAAAGAAATAAAAGTCTAGATAAGAACAGATACATATAGCTACACCCATGTTTACTGAAGCATGATTCACAATAGCAACGAGATGGAAACAGCCCCTCGGTGGGCGAATGAGTAAATGAATTCCAGTACATCCAGCCAATGAAATACTACACAACATTAAAAAGTAACAGAGAACCCACAAAACAGCTTAACACAAGGATGACTTTGGAGAACAATATGCTGAGTGAAATCAGCCAATCACAACAGGACAAATATTTTATGAGTCTATTATTATAAAGTTTTACATACCAAAAAGATTATTTGATAGTTACCAGGAATAAGTGACTAAATAGATAATGCACATGTATTAATTTGGATGAAGGGGAAGGCAATATACAATAAGAAAATGACCAGTGCAACATTACTAGTAAGAAGGAAGAATAAGAGTTGTGGACAACAAACATAAATAGTGTTACAAACACAATCCTGCACTACCAGCCTGTAATGACAGGTCTCGAAGGTGGCGTGGCCATCTCTGCAATTCTTCCCCCAAAGACTTCTGTGTTTCTTGATTGATACCACATCAAAAGGGCAGTTTAGGCATTCTCATGGGGCTCAAATACTGTTCCTTTTCAATGTGCTTTGAGTTTGGGGAACAAAAGAAAGTCTCAAGAGGCAACGTCAGGGTTGTAGAGTGGATGGAGTAAAATTTCCCAATGAAATTCCCATTGGACGGCCCTTACACCCTTGAAGAATGAGCAAGTGGATTGTCATGATGGGAAAATAAAAATCATCAGGGAAACGTCCCTAGCTTTTTTCTCACCAAGGAAGTTTTTCAATTTTCTAAAACTTCTTCACAATTGGTTCCTGTGACCATCTTGTACCTCTCAAACAAACCTTATTTTTCAAGATGATACCTTTGAAATCCCTAAAAAGGATCCTAGCAGATCCCCTCAGAAGACACTCTTTTGGTTGTACTTTTTTTTAAGGTACCCTGATGGAACACTGGACATGTTATAGCATGCTTGATAAGGGGAGGGGCCTCAAAGAAGAGGAAGGCCCTCAAGGAGCGGAATTGACCAAATGGCCGCAGCTGTGGGCTCAGCTATAAGGACCACTGTGAGGATGGCACAGGACCACCGTGCGGTGTCTTGTTCCATTGTGCATGGGGTCGCAATGAGTCACAACTGACACAGTGGCATAGCAATGACACTGGAAGTTAGACGAATATATTACTGAGAGAAGTTGTCTGCAGTCATCCACTAATCAGAGACATGTTTCAACACATTTTGTTTAGAATGAACTTGTGCACATAGGAACAGGAACCCCAGTGCTCTTGTACATGCAACAATGGCATTTTCCACAATTTTTTGTGTATGTGTGGTGTATCATAAATAAATGTAATGGAATCCTAATGGGAAGTTGGTAAATCTAAATCCAACCATATCCATAAATAAATTTTAAAACACTCTGAACAGACTATCAGATTTGATAAGGAAGCAGGCCCCAATTAAATGTCTACATACTTTATCTCAAGGATATAAATATGTTCAAATCTAAAGGTGTAACAAGATATATCATACACCAGTACACACCAGAAACTTGAAGTGGCTTTGTTAGCATCAGAAAATAATAAACTTTAAGAAAAAAAAGTTACTAAGGGTGTGCAACAGAACAGCAAGGGGAACAGAGCAACGAAGTCCCAAGGGAATGCCCAAAATAGACTTTGGGGCCAGGGCATGGCACCCCATCAGACTCGACCGGAAAACATTCCTAAAGGCCAACAAACAGTCCTTCAACTAACTACAAGCTTTTCTTTTTTGTTGTTTAAAAAAAAAATGTTACTAATGACCAAGGACATTGCACAATGATGAGTCAGTCAATCGAAAAGGTCTAACAACTATTTTATCCTATGAATTGAGTTGACTAGAGGGCAGTGGTTTGGGTTATCAAGGTGTTATGGATTCAATTCTGTCTCCCCAAAGTATGTGTTGTACGTTCTACGCTCCAGACCTGTGACTATAATCCTATTTCAGAATGAACTATTTGTTATGCGAATGAGGCAGGATGCGTGTAGGTTATATTTGGAGTCAATTTCTTTTGCGGTATCAAGGAAAGTAAACAAGCAAGCAAACAAGAGATGGAGGGCAAGAAATGGAAGTCACGTGCAGATGAAGAGCAGACGCTCAGGGGAGCCAAGGAGTTTCTCCAGAGTCGATAGAGAGACGGCAGCAGCCCCTCGAGCCCACCATTTGTTCTTCAGGTCTCCTAAACTGTGACAAAACAAATGTATGCCTGCTGAAGCAAGTTACACACACACACACACACACACACACACACACACACACACAC